ATCATCATGGCCGTCATGACCATCAGCATTCTTGTCGTTATCATCATCACCACCACCATCAGAATCACCATCACCATCATCATTATTACCACCACCACCACCACCGCCACCACCACCACCACCACCACCACCACCACCACCACCACCACCACCACCACCACCACCACCACCACCACCACCACCACCAACATCACGACCATGGTGAGAATCAAGATCGATACAGGCATCATCTCCTGGGCATGGCTGAAAGCTCAACCCCTGTCTCCACACGCAGCCACCCGTTCTTGACGAGCTGAACCGGTTGATATAGGGGCGTTAATAATTAGAATGGGGTTTTGGGGCCCATTATATTATAATTATAATAAGGAACCCCCAAATAGTATAGGTAATTATTAAGGCCCCTATAGTAAACTTTCCGGACACAGCAAACTCCCATGCCCCGCGGCGGCCTCGGTAGGCACCCGCCTGATTGCTCCGAGGTTTTTGGAAAAAAACATAAGCTTTTTACAACACCTAAAACCTATGTTTTGGTTGAAAAAAACCTGTGTCGTCTTCACAGGGAAAAACGCAACGCGAGACCAAGGGCCGCACTGGCGGAAGCTCGGACCTGGAGCTCAGGGCATTATAAAACACGATATATATATGTATATATATATATATATATATGAATATATGAATATATATATATATATATATATATGTGGCTGACAAAATTAGAGTCCCTTTTGGGGTACCCTAAATAATAGGTGCCGTATAAAAATAGGGACCCCAAAAGGGACCATAATTCTGACAACCACCCATATATTACTGTATATGTTTCCAAATACCATAAGATGTGTCACAATACACTATAGTATATAGGAGCTGAGGCATGACCAAGGTCCCTGTTCTGGGAGCTTGTATGTCTTGTCTTGAAACACAAAAACCCAGGCAGGAAATCGCCACGACGGCAGTGGCCATCCACTACTAAGAGTCTTAAGTAGTCATAGGCCGGGTTTGCATGCCGACAAAGGCAGAAAGAACAGCAGGAGGAGGAGGGGAGGAGGAGGAGCAGGAGCAGCAGCCAAAGCCGCAGTCGTCGCCGTCGTCGTCGATGATCAGGACAGCAATGCCTTTCTGCAGCAATGGTGATGTTGGTCGCAAGCCGCGAGATCATCAACATCAGCACCGCCTTCGGCATGAACAACATCGTGATCAGCGGCTGCATCGGAATGGGCAGCATAGCAAGCGAGCATTGCCATGGCTTGCAAAGCAAGAAGCTTGAATATCGTCACCCCCCTCCCCGTGGCCGCCGTCATCATCCTCATCCGGCTCGTCGTATCCGCCACCAACACGATCGCTGCCAACGCCATTACCATCAGAACATATCACAACCGATCTTGTTGGCACTGCGACCGTCCTTAGCTGGCACCGATTGCTATCTGGCTTGGGCGCGCGCACGTCAGGAATCATGGCCCCGTCCTCAGGTGAGCTCCACCTGTCCCAAGCATCCAGCAAGATTCTAAAAATGCATCATGCACTGGTTGCATGTACGAACCCTCAAGCTGCAAGGTAATTCCCGTAACAACACGATCACTCCAAAGTCTCTCAGCAGGGCATGGAGCATCCCAGGTGTTCGAAGTCCCAAGCCCCACTTGTCCAGCGGCTGCCTGGGTTCAGAAATGCCCGGTGCACCCCTTCAAGGCCCGGGCAGCTAATCACTGCGAGCCGAGCGAGCGGGACAACAGTGTAGGCTTGGGATCGTGGAGCTAGAACTCTCCCAAACGGAGGACCTCCTGAGGAGCCGATCCGATATGGGAGTTTACGAAAATTAGGGGTACCTCATTTTGGGGCCCTTATAATTTGGATCCTACTATTTAGGGTACTAGTACAATTAGGGTCCCCTATTTTCGGAAACTCCCATATCGTTCCCTCCTGTTGTGCTCCGGCGCCTCCGGAGAGCAGGAACCGACTGCCCGCCGAGCACAACAGAATCTTGGAAGCTACTAAAGCCGCCTTAATAAATTGGGGCCCATTATACTAGAATTCTAATAAGGAAACCCGCAAAATAGCATAGGTAATTGCTTTACAAGGCCCCTATATTGCAGCTGCAAAACGGATGTCTGCAAAGCGCGGTGCCGCTGGATGTTTTTCGCTACTCGCGGGAATGCATGAAGGCTGCTGCATCGTCATCTGCGCAGCACCTGTGCAGAGCCATCAAACAGTACGCATTTCCCCGCCAGATTTTGAATTTTGACTCTGAAATCAAATCTTTCTGCTTCATGGGGATGCCCGGCTGCCGGCATCGATGTGTTACGGTGCACCGAACTGGACTTGGACCGAAGGAGCCTGCAGCTCCGAAGCTTGATGAAGGAAGTGCCCTTCTCGCGGATGCTGTGCCTGGCTCCCCAGCGCAAGGCACTGCTCGAAACGATGGCTCCCTGTACACATCTACTTGGACTCGGAATGACTTGGACACGAGATTACTGTAATCGGGAGCCTCTACATGAGTTATGTGTTGGAGACATTCTCAGCACGTGGATCTCCCTACCGCCCAAGCCAAGAACAAACTTTCACTCAATCCGTGCCGTCCCGGATGCCCACATGTCTTTCCTCTTCTCAGCAAACAAGATTGCCAGTGTTGCGCAGCGGGAGTCTCAGAAAACAGGCTGCCCTATGCCAATGTCGAAAATTGCACCACAATACTGTAGGACCGTGCGATGAAGACTCCTGAATCAGGTAGCACTCCCTTAAAACCTAAACAAGGCATTCTGGATATGGGAGTTTCCGAAAAGTACTAGTCTTTTTACTACTATTAATATTACTATTAATATTATTGTTATGCCCTAAACTTAATTCCATCCCCAAAACTTCGAATCCGTCAGAGACTTCAGGTCCCAAATCCCGCCTCGTCCGAGCACCGGGTCGAGGCCGCCTGGCCTCGATCTTCGGAGCCCGTTTAAAGGATCATGGGACTTAGTAACTAGGGTTTAGGGTTTTGGGTTTTTTTTTTTTTTTGAACGGCCCTTTTTCGACTCGCAAGGATCCCGAGAAGCGGTTTTCCGCTGGGCGTGTTGGTTAGGCACTTACAGGCCCTGCAACAGCCCCCTCACAAGCAAGTCTACAACTGTCTCTCTGCTTCTGCTGAGGTCGTACTCATCCTGAACCTTCTTTCTCGTCCGACTCATCCTTTGCCCCCCCGCCATCATCCACATTCATGTCTTTAATATCCACTCCATCAAGCTGAGCATCTCCAGAATCCGGTAAATCCAGCACCGTATCCTTGTCCATGCCGCGAAGATGACCAGGCGGCCAGGGTTCACGTGCAGGTTGGCTCAGACCGGGTTCACTCAGTCCGTGATCACGGGCGACCAACACAGTGGGGGCATCGCTGTCATTGGCCAGACCTCCAGATTCCCCTCCGGGCTCGTCGAAGTGGAGTTCCAGGCGCACGACACTGCCTTGTGGTAGAGGAAGTTCATGAGAGCTGGATGCGCCACCCGGTGATTCCTGAACGTGTACCACCATTCGTCTGCGCTTTGGTCGCGGGGGCGCTTGCATTTCGTCAAACATCGCCCAGTTGTCCCACGCCCGTGCCTGACGGGACCGAGCCAGCTCTTCATCTTGTCGTCTGTCAGCGTCGTCCCAGTAGTCCATGATGCTTTTGGCATCAGCTTGCCAGGCCAGTAGCTCACTGGCCTCAAATGCCAGCTGGCTTTCCGTCGGCTCCGGTTGTTCCTCAAGGCCTGGGTCTTCCATTGAGTCCACCATATGTGGCTCCGCCGCTGTTTCCATCGCCGCAATCGCTGCCGCGGCCGTTGGGAAGCTCGGCGCGGGCAGCAGTGGGCGCAGCTGGTGCCACCACTGCTCCACAAAGTGGCTGTCTGCATTACCCGGCTCAGTCACTGTTTCATCACCTCCGTCGGCAACTGCGTGAGCTGCTAACAGTGCCTCCGCGATCTCTGCCGAAGGTGGTACCCCACGGTTTTGGGGTTTAGGGTTTGGGGTTTAGGGGTTTAGGGTTTAAGGGTTTTGGGGTTTAGGGGCTTAAAGGATCTTGGGACTTAGTAACTATAGGGTTCCCTTACAGGGCTCCTTTAAAGGGATCTATGGGGGTTCTATTATAGGGTCTACTTAAAGGATCATGGGACTTAGTAACAAGGGTTATACTTAGGGTACCTATACTTATAACCCCAAGTAAGGTACTTAAAACCTTACATACTAAGTGCTACCTGCTGCCTACTTGTCGGGTATCATGGGGAACTAAATGACTAAAGGTTCACCTGTTTGGGTATCTAGGGATTATATAGGGTCTATACTACCCAAAATAAATCGTAGGATCCTTATCATAAGGATTGTCAAATAGTGTACCTCTAATTTTCGGAAACTCCCCTATCAGTCAGCACTAACCACTCTAGCGAGGCCAGTCCCGCGTGCTCAACGCCCCGTCAGATTTGGAAAGACAGCACCATAACGTATGTAGGGGTCTTAAACAACAAATTGAGTAGGGCTTGGGGGTGTATCATAACAGTATAGCTACAGTGAAAGAATAATGGGATTCGCCAAAAGTAAGCCCTGTATTACAAATGTGCCCCATCTCTCTCCGTCAGAGGCCGCGGCAGCCCTGGAAGCAACCTCAGCGCACGTGCCGAGCAGCTTGCAGTGGTGTGGACGGGGTACAGTACAAGAGCCTCTTGATTGAGGAGCTCTGCACTCCGAGCTTGCGGAAGATTCCTTGATCGACACCCCTGCAGACTTGAAGCTGGATCCAACATGAATTTGTAACCTGAGCACGTCATCCTTTGCACGTTCTCGGGTTATCCCAACAGATGCATGCCTGAGACCATCCACACCCTAGCCAGAGGACATAGCGAAACTCGCGGCATGGGTCAAGCCTGCAACCCTGAGCCCTTGAAATGCTGGACAAGAACACGAACTCTGAACAAATCTACTGCCAAGGCCCTGGCGGGCCTGGCGCTGGCTGGGTTTGTGTCAACTTCCGGCCTCTTTCGTGACTTTCTTCAGGGTGTGCCCGAAACCCACCTCCGGGAAGACGCAACCCCTGACTTTCCAACAAGCGCTCACCAGATGCCTCACAGTCCCATCGTTCGTGGGCGATGCTTCAAACCTCGCTTCGAAGCCACTGGATACAAGAGCATGCACAGGGAATGCAAGGTCAGATAGACAACGACGGCAGCAACACACTGGCAGGAAACCAAGGGAATTCAATCCCGAACAGCGAAGCTGCAGCTGTGCCACAGGGGTCGAGGATGCTTGGGGAAGGAAAAAGGACTGTAACACGATGTTGTGTCACGTGCTCAAGGAGTGCTGGTAAGACCACTAGTCAGTAGCTTGCCGACCTCTGCACGAAATATCGCTTGCTCTGACGTGTTTGTCCAGGATCCTGGCGCTGCTCTGAGCGATGTGCTGCTTTCAGCCACTGGTCCTGAAAGGGTGTATGTAAGTTGATGCAACTTGGGACCCTATTATACTAACGATAACATAAACACATTCCACATCTTTGGATGTAAGTCAATATACCTTAATGTAATAGGACTCAGTATACTACAACATACTGTAGTACAATCTAACCCTTTTCATGTATGATAGACTGTGATATAATCGACGGCGTCATCCTGTACCAGAACATACTATAACCTACAACAACTTATACAACGTACTACAAGAGGCCATAACCTACGGTGCTACAGTCGTTGATAATACTTAACATATGCTATAGTGTACTATCAAATATCAAAACCTACCACACTACTAAGCTAAACTAGAATATGCTGCATTATCATGTGCGAATATGCAAACACAACTGTAATGTCACGCTTGTGAAATGAAAGTTGACATTGCATGACATAAAACTTCATGCAATCTATACATACATATATATATATATATGTATATGTAATTATGTACGTAAGAATATATTTATATACATAACTATGCACGTATATACTAATCCTGTAGATACATAAATTCTAACATGAAATAACGGCCCTGTTGTCACCTCCTTGGCTGGCGCTGCTTGCTTCAGGGTCATCCTGGCCCGCACGACCGAACGCGGCATGAGGGCTTCAGATTTGGAGAGCTTGTTATGGTAAGGGTAAGAATAAGGACGGGAGCAACGATGAACATAACAGCAACAACAAGAATTGAGGGTTGAGAGGGAAAGTTAGGAGTCGTCGTGAAGGAGGGCAAACGCAATGTAAGGCTTTTCTGAAACCTGGCTGCTTACGATTCGAGTTTCGTGGATCTTCAGTGCCTTGGCAGCCTGTTTTGGCAGTGTTTGACGGCCGTCAAGCTGTGCACCCGTCGGAGCTTTTCTTGGTGACCTACCAGTAACAGACAGCTGCCAGCCGACCATCTCATCTTCATCTGGCAGCAGCAGGCCACCATTTAAAGACTTCAAGTGGTTTGGTGAAGAGGGCGTGGGGCGCCTGGAAAGCGACTTGGACGTCCGTCGCGTCAGCCTCCATTGCGTGGGGCTGCGCAGCCTCTGCAAGAGGCTCACCTGGCTCTTCCTTCTGCTCCGGCTCCGATGCCATTGCATCGGCCTCTGCCTGCAACAGCGCAATATGCGTGCACATATAAGTGTGTTTATATACCGATAGATAGATCAATAGATAGATGAATTCGTTTAAACAGATAGATAGACAGGTAGATAGCAGTATATGGAAAGGTAGACATATATGCACCTATATTTGGTCTCCTCCTTCTTCTTCTCGCTACTGTTTCAGTATAGCTATACTCACAACGCCAGATTTCGCGGTCCAGCAGCTGTTTGCAAGCCCCGACTTGCACAGTCACATAGTACAACATCACATTTTCTGGTCAAATTGTAGAAAAATGAGTCGATATGACATGATACGGCATGATGTAATACATAGACTTTTCGTGAACCATCGGCCTCTTCTGTCACCACCGAAGTTTCCATGGCAGACTTGGCCGTTGTGGGGACTGTGCATGCGTGCGAGCATCTCAGGGCTTGCATCTAAGTGATATCGGTCTGAGACATGAACGATTGAGGGTATCGTCCAAGTAATATAAAAAGTGAAATATCATATAACATTATATAAGAAAATAATACTTATAATATACAAAACATAGTATCAAAAGGTATTGCATTATCTTGCCTTTCTTGCTTGGGACGAGACGCACAAATGCGCCGACTCGGGCAACATCGGCTGCGTGTCCTTCCATGCCTACTTGCGGCGTGGGATCCGCCCCCGAGCCCTGCACCTCTTCCGGAATACGTGCATATCGGCTGTTTTGTTGCAGGGTCTGCGAGGTCCGCGTAACAGGGCTTCCCTGCCTTTGTCTGAGTTAACTGCGGATCGATGGGTCAAGAACCGCCACTTTAGTGGGTCTGTAAGACCTACTTTTCTTTACAAACTGTTATGCATAGAAAAGTCGGCTTTGAGAGTTGTCCTCTTCCGTTGTGGTCATAGCGTGTCTCGAGTCTTAGTCTTGGTCATAGCCACTCCTACAGCCACACTGGCTGTTGCTACCATGCCTCTTCTGCTGTTGATTCGATATTTCGGCTCATGGCTGGCCGGATCAGAACTCGAAAGAAGGCTGCTCTCTGGCCTCAGCAGCAAAATCTGATGTGTTCGATCGAACTCTAGCGGCACGGTCAAGCCGAGAAGTCATGAGTTATGCATCATCTTCATCTTCATGAACACCACCATCATCTTCATCGTCATCATCGCGAGAAATGTCTGAAACGATCGTAGAAACACAAGAGGACAACAAAGGGAACTGGCGATAGCAATACCCGAGCCTTGAGAGAAAACGAGCGGGTCTTACTTGGAGGTTTATAAGTCCCCTAATATGCCCTACTTATAACTACCCATGAACCTCCAAGTACAGGAGAGAACCTCACGGTGAAGCCGACTGATTTACTCAGGCAGGGAAGCTCAGATTCCTGCGGCTTCCAGCATTTCCAGAAGTTGCCTGACACAGGGAGCCGCGCACTGCCGCACGGGATTCTCTCCATTGGCGCACTCGGTCACTTGTGTGCAGCCCTCATGTTATGAGAACAGAACAGAAGGATGAAGGCATGGCTCGTTTGCAGTCTCGAGTCACGGCGACTGCCGAAGTTCAGTCGAAATTGCATGCAGCTCCAATGCAAAACATCAACACATCATTACGCGATCCAGCCTACGGCGGACCTTCACGAGTGGCACAAATGGTGAGCGAGTGCAGAGTACATCAACCCTCATATGTGTGCATCCTTCAAGAGTTCTTGATTCGTGTTCTTCTAACAAGCAAGCCTCAAAACCCTAAACCCTGAAACCCAGGACCCGCCAACACAGAACTGGGCCTTGCCTGTCGACACCGCTGCTATCACAAAGCCAGAAACCCTCTCAAATTTGCTGATCAGCAGAACCTCTCTCCGGTGCGAAGAAGAAACATTTGATGATGGCGACCCGAATAGTTGTGGTAATTGCTATGATGACTAGAGGTGGCCTTAAACAACAGGAACAGTACTCAGACTAGTAAGCCCCAAACACATTGGTAGCAAAGATCTATAGTCGGGAAAAGAGGTATGGCAAAAATTGTACTGGTAAGAGCAGCAACAAAAAGCACACTAACCCTACACTGTAAACCCTAAGTACCTTAAGGCTCAAGGACCCTCGTAGTGAGATCCCAAACCCTAGCCCCCAAAGCCCAAACCCTCCCCCAGGAAGCCCATGACCCTCTTAGGAGCCTTAGCTAACCAGTGGTTTTGGGGTTCCTTTGGCTCTTTAGCTCCTTGTTTAATAGAGATTATCATCATCCCTTGCTCCTTAGCTCCTCCAATACCAATGGTTACAGTAGAAGCCAGAAAGTTGGAACATCATTATCCCCATGCCCTTAAAGTAAAGTATAAGGGATCCTAGCACTAATATTCCTAAATCCATGTTCCAACTTTCTGGCTTCTACTATAGTTAGTGTCAACCCCGAACCCTGATCTGACGCACCTGTCATCTAGACCCAGCTCAGTGAGAGCCCAGGTGGCTGCGCTCACATCCTGGCCACCGGGATGTTTGGTAGTGATTAGAATGCGATTCCTGTAAGGATCTGTAAGGGTTCTATGAAAGGGGATCTAGAAGGGTCCTAGTTTAAGGTTAGTATCGGGCCTATAACAAAACTTCTTGGGCTCCCACAATGTATATCTATAGCTAGGGACCCTAAGGAATACTAGTGGGAGTTAAGTTGAACTTAGGGGCACTGCAACGTAGCTTACTACAGTACATCATGCGGGGCCTTCGCCGGGCTTTGGGGTATATTGTGCTAGAGGTGTATAGTGGCTATAAGGAAATACCTCTACTAGTGCTAGTTACTCCGAACTTCATGCTAAATCCGTTTCTGCTTGAGTAAAGTCTTCGGGTCTCTGCTCTTGCAGTCTGGTACCGTGGAAGGCTCTCACGAGCCTCCAAAGCTCACAGTACTCCAAGGAATCTTTAATCGAAGAGGGACCACACAGATTTCGGAGTCTGCTCTTCTCTGAAGCAATTATCGGCTCCCAGTGGCACCTAGGCTTCAAACGGCGGGAGTCCCGAAGCAGAGCCAACAACTGGCCCCATGGTAGGTTCACGCATATCAAATCATCTAATCCAAAGACACTTGCTTCAAATTACTTCAACTTCAGCTGACAAGCAAAGCTTGTCTCACTCTGCTTCAAGAGGATCCAGTACATCAGGAGGTCGAGGCGATTCGGAAAGGTCCCGTTCAAAGACCAATACGAGCTCCGTGTCGGTGCCCATGGCCTTGTTCGACTGCATCTGTGCCACGAGGTCTTCCTTACTTCAGGTTTTACATTCTGAAGTATCGGAGCGGAAATGAGTTCAGATTCCACCCATTGCCCATCCCTTTCCGGGACCCATTCGCAATACGCTTTGCCTCCTACAAGTAGGTCGTAGGCATAATGTCTGTGGGACCTCCTGCCGTCAATGAGAGAGATAATCCAAGATCACTAAGGATTTCAGGGATACCTATAGCCAGCGTGTAGCAGTGTAGCGTATCTGGACTCAGCTGGGTGTCGACTGTATTGATGAAGGAGGTGTCTAGGATTGTTTGCCTCCACCGCCCCAGACCGCCCACGACGTTGGAGACGAAGTCCTCAGTCTTGATGCCCAGGTTCGCCCTGTCCATCACCTGGTCAACAGCTCCCCAATAGCTTCCAAAAAGTCGTTTTGCCGTTGGCTGAATCTTCGGGTGTTCGTGTTCTTTTGTCGCTGCTGCTGCAGTTGTCCCTACATTGTCGATCTCACTTCCACTCGCAAAGTCTTACGTCTCATAATCCGCTTGGTGTGACAATGATCATAACTTGTTCTGGTTCTCGCGGAGATTAGATGCAACCAAGGCACCACGGTCACAGCGTGGAGGATGTCGCCTGCTGCTTACCCGGGTATGACCATTCCCTGCGCCCGAAGGACACCTACCAATGCCAACACTGTACCGGGAAAAATGAAATAGAGCTTTAGCTGCCTTCCGCACAACTTTGGAAAAGTCTTGCAGGATGCTTAGCGGACCAGTTAGCTCAACTAAAACTTTCATCCGTTGATGTCCGTTTCATCGTGAACCCTTTTCCCGTTTAGTTGTCAGATCGCAGCCTGGCAAGACCACGCCGCCTTGCCAAGCTTGACCGCCCTCGACCACGTCTTCCACCAAGAAGGCTCCCTCGAGAAGAAGGGGGATTGGGCAAGCTATCCTTCATGTGCCTCAGCCTCAGTGCACTAGGCTTAGCTGCAGGTGCAAGTGCCGGGGGCACATTCCACTAGCTGGCTCACCTTGCCTTCAGTGGTCCACTGTTGCACTTTGTCAGCTGCAGGCCAAGTGGAAGGCAAGCTCGAATCATGTAAAAAGCCACTTCGCGACCGTCAGTGAAGTAGCGGACAAGTTCCAACCTCTCATTTCCCTGCTCCGGAAGCGGTACCTCGAAGACCAGGGGCTTCATCGCAGCAGTCTGCTGCTGTACTTGCGCACTGCGTCCACCGGCCTGAAGGCCACCACCACTGCGCAATGTCTCCTCCAGCTCTTGATTGCATGCGGCCAATTTCTCATAGCTGTCTTGCCAGTCGACTTCACATGCTTCTGGCATCTCCGCGGCCGAGGACTCGCCTATGTCGAGGCTACGCAGCTGCTCTCGCAGGAGCTCGTTGCGCTCCATCTCTGCATCGTATGCTGCCTTCCAGGCATCTTCTGAGCTGGCATGGACTTGCAGATCCTGCAGCCGCTGCAGCCTTTCAGACTGTGGGCGAGAGCCTGCGAAGCCCAGAAGAGAGCTGCTTCCAAGCACCTGCAAGCTTGGGACCAGAATAAAACAGCTCATGTCATAAAACCCAGAGACCCTGACTTTAGATTTTGCATAAATTGAAAAGTTAGGGCTGAACTTTGCCGCGACACGGCGCAAAGCACGCTGAGAGCGGAAAGCGATCGCTTCCAGCGGAGATGCGGAGGGCGCATGGCGCGAACTATCGAAACGACAAGCTGTCTCACAACAGATTGAGGGAAGCACGCAATACTGCCTCCAGGTGTTCGGGGATCAAAAATGCCTTGACGTGAGAGGGCCACAAGCATTGGCAGAAAGGCTACTTCCTGCTTAAGTCCTTGTGCTGTGACGTCATACATGGAAACATCATGTACATTGCGTTGAACCTTGGTTCTGGCGTGACCATGGGCAGATAGATACAAACAGATAGCTACCTGTGTAACTAACTTTTGATGCTAAAACAATTTACTGCGATCTTGCCGCAGTGCCAAAACAGGAAACCCACTGGGGTGGACAACCAGCCGCCGCAACAGACCTCCCTGCAAACTGCAAATTTACTGCAAATCAGCAGTTGTTAGAAATGACAAATTTCGATGGCGCTTTCCGAAAACAAGGGACGTCACCAACAAGACGGATCTCCCGAAGTTCCGGAAACCCCCCATACCAGTGTGATCCGACAATTTGCCATCTGTACGGCAAAGAGTTTAGGGCTAAAGATAAGGGATTTCAAAACATCTCCAAAATTCCAAATCATCTCTATCGACCCACACCCCAAAGACCCCAAACCCAATGCCCCAAAGCCTTGAATCCAAAGGCTGTCTTCTAAACCACCCCAGAGCGCGCCGCGTCGTCGAGCCAGGCCCCAGTATCATGCAGGACCTCCCGAAGCCTGTCGACTGCTTCAGGTTTTGTCGGTTTTTGTATGCATGTATGCATGTACACGATTGTGTATTTGCACAGATATGGTCACACACACACACACACGCACTCTATATATAAACATATGTCTATACATATATATATATATACAAATGCATAAAACATAATTCCATGTGTGTATACATGTGTGATGATCATCGTCCATACGGTTATCGTACAGTCGTACAAACGACGGTTCCCTTTCGGAAACTTGCAAGTCTCCAACTGCGGCTTTGGAACCTCATCCAAATCAACTTGGCGGCAATCTACCAACCCTGGTTCCTGCGCGTCTTTCATTTTTAGCTCGAGCTTTATCTCGGATGACCGGTATGCCCGCGGCTATGCCGCTGGGCTTCTGGTAGAACACATTGAAACCGTCCTTCACAAACATTTACAAACTACAACGCACTGAAGGGCTTTGCCACGGCGATTCTGCTTAAAGAATCCGAGCACGGCACGACTGCTCGCGCTATGACTGTGAGGCTCGCTCCGAGTCTGACCCGAAACCTTGCAGACGCAGGGAGCATCAATCGTCTGGACACACTTGGAGGTTCATGGGTAGTTATATAAGTGAGGCTAGAAGTCCCCTAATATGGTTTACAAGTTTACAAGTATAATTATAACCCCACTTGTACCTACCCATGAACCTCCAAGAGGCCCATTCAAGGGTACAAGGGATACAATGGAATACAGCAGCGCAGTAGGGGCTTTTGTGTGGCGTAGACTCCGATTTGCGGACACTTTGAACAGAACAACTGAGCAGCAAAACCCCGGAGTTCGCCAACGTCTGGACATCTTCTAGAGTTCGGGACCACCAACCGTTGAATCTTGAAATTGTTGATGCATTTTCGCACCTGCGGCTCCAAGTTGGGAACTTGCGGTCTGACGAGTAGTTGCTGACGAAGCGGCGGAAAACTCGCAGAAACGACGTCATCGGGGAACTGCTGCTGCTGGTCCTGCTGGTTCCCCTGTTGCTGTTGAGCTGGCCGGCGACTCTCGCTGATCCCAACATACCTGTTGGGGCAGCTCGGGCAATTTTGTTTCCAGCAGCAACAACAACTATCGAAGAAAGCCAATCGCTGCACTGACAGTACTGATCACAACCAAACCTTGTCATAAGCTCGCTCAAACCATCTGAAAGCCGAGGTGTGGGTTCTGCACTTGGCACAGAAAAACACGAAGTGTCTGGACACTTTCCCTGACCAAGAGTCGGATGAACTGAGCAATCTTCGACTCGAGCTGCTTCATCTCAGCGTGCATGACCAACTGGTCCTGGCCATTCTACGGGCAAAGCTGCATCCAGCTCTACGTCATACCGGTGCGAACAGCCTACTGAATCCATGTTGTTTGTGTTCTTCATTGCAAATCTCTTGCAACTGCGCCGAGGTGCAATTGCTCGTGCTGGGCCTTTGCAACGTAGAATGCCATCGATGAACTCCTCCCTCGTGACCTGGCAAGTTACCACCATGTAGACCATTGCGCCACGTCAAAAGTCCCCAAACCATCCAAATCCGACGCTCCACACCCTGACCTGCACAACCTTGAAACTCGAAATCTACAGCCATCCGGAATTTCGCTGCACCCGATAAAGCTACGGATAGAACTAACTAATGATGAAACGGATATGCACCTGTAGCTTCATAATGTGAGTACGATGAGGAACACGACTAGAATTGCGACAGAACGTAAAGCCATTCATAGTATGGAAAATTACGAATAATAACAAAATATTAATGCTAGCAATACATAAAGATCGCCGCTTCAATTGTTGTTCTGGAAACACAGTCCCTCAGGCTCACAGGTTCAACTGCGCCACCCGGGCCAAGATTGAACTGTCTTGGTCTTGGATGTGGCTACTTCAACCCCTTTCCCTTATCGCTCTGACAGAAATCTACACGTTCAAAAACCCTCCATCGGGTGCGATTTTCCCTCCCCTTTCCCACCTCGCCGTCACCGTTGTCCAAAATGTGGAACAAGGCAGTACCCTCGTGCCTCAGCAAAGGTGGTTGTAAAAAAATGCCTGTCGCGTACATGCACCAGAAATGAAAAGCGTGTCACCACTGCACTTCACTACTTACTCTACATGTCGGTTTGGATCAACCGCGGGTCTCCAAACGTCTCCGGAATCTTCGAAATCACTCGGGCAAGGCTTTTGTTACATTCTGACAGGCTCTTTTTTCTTCTCTTTGCTGCCTAATGTCTTTTTCGCGCCCTGTCTGGGTTTGGGGTTGGTTTCAACCCCCTTCCCAGGGCAGGTGGTCTGGAATAATGCAGCGAGCGGCCCGGACGTGTCGATTATCCTGCCAAGCTCGTCTCTTGCGTCAAATTTCTTCAAAAGCTGTCGCTTCGCATGCTTGAGCGCGTTTTTGTTTGCCGCATCTGCTTCGGGGAGACCGGCTTTCGTTTTTCTGGCAAGCTGATCCTTTACATTGCCCGTAGTGCACGTGTTGGCTGCTTCTGCTTTGCACCAGATCCTCTTGCGTGGTGCACTTGTTCGCCCAAGTCCAAACGCCCGAAACGACGTCGAGCTGGCCCTGCCCCGTCCACTGGCCGAACACGACTGCCTTGAAGTCTTGCCCAAACCGGCAATGAACGATGGCTTCCACTGCTAAAACTTGTGGGGAGCCTTCTTCTCTTATCGGAATGTTAGCTGTTAGTGTCCAGTTGACGGGCAGGTCAGTTTCAGCTCTGAGAAAATGAAACAATACAGTAGGCATTCTTCTGGATCGCGACGGGTAAGCTGCCACTGCACCTCGCTGGAAATCGATTGGTTCCATCGACAGTCTTCTTGCAACTGCCGAAAATCTTGCAACGCCTGGGCCACGCTTGCTGCATGCTCGAGTTCTTGCGACGGACAAAAAGGACGCCCGCATTTGCAGATGATGTTGCGGCTACTCGCAATGTATCGAAAAATTCTGGCTCACTTCGCTTCCAGTTCTGCAAGAGGACCATTCGCAGGCAGCTGCATATGGGTGCCCCTCGGACCGATCCATAGGTGGCAACGGCTGTGCGAAGTGACCGTATGAAGGTTGGGTTGCCAGAATTTTTCTGGCCAGAAGAAGCTTTTTGTTTTGCTTTGCATGAATGCCGTCAAGTCCAACGTCTCAGCGGGGTCATCTCAATGGGCCAAGACAAGTTTCCTTCAATCTACTAAGCCGGAAAGATCAAAGCAACTCAGTGGTTCGAGTATTGCTGTGCAGTCAGCAAGATTCCAGCTTGCGGTATCTTCCTACTGCCATAGACCCATTGGCCACCCCCAGAGAAGGGAGAGCCCTGCTGGGCGTCTGAAAGCGCCTCAGCAAGACAGACAAACCTCCTGAGACACCTATGGCGGCATTCGCTACAACTACCTGCGCTCTCAGGCAGGGCATGAGCTCAAACACACAGAATCAGTATACCACATGGGAAATACCAGCCCCCATTGATCTCCGAAAATAATTGGCGCCCGCAGGTACAAACACAGAAGCGCGAGAAGACTGGAACCCGAAGGGGAAAGAAAACAACAAGCATAGAAAAACTGAACAGCACGAACCGGCAAACAACGGCAACGGCAGCAGGGACAACAACCCTCGAGCCAGTTCGCCAGAAGCCCTTGAAGCACACCACCCCGAAAACGAAAACGCCCCTGAACAGAGTGAGAGAGCGAGAGAGGGGGGGAGCGGGAGAGGGGGATATCCGGGCTGAAAGGGGCCGTTTCAAGCCGTGTCAAGTGAGGGGAAGGATTTGTTTATGTTTTATGTCATGGGTATGTGCAGGAAAACCCGTAAGCACGAGAGCAGGCTTTCTTGGACCTTGTCCACGTTGGTGGAGAAGCAGAAAACCCCATGGACGAGGAAGAAAGCGTTTTGTGGACTCTGTCCATGCACGCTCCAGAAGGTGAGGACGGCAAGGCCTACCCAGGCCCATACGACAGTACCCGAAAAATATTGGGTTTGAAACCAACCCAGCCCGAATACTCTCCCAAACCACAAGCAGCTTCAAAGCATCGTGTAGGCGAGCGGGCAACAACATGGCAAACAACAGAAGGCACAAACCCAATGTGGGAGTTTCCGAAAATTAGGGTACCTTATTTGGGGGTCCTTATAACAAGGATCCTACTATTTAGGGTACTATATTAGGGTCCCCTATTTTCGGAAACTCCCATGTAAAAACAGCTGCAGTTAGGTCTTCCGTGACCCAGAAATTGAGGCGCTGTCCACGCAATGCATCTGGGCGGCACATCGAGGTCCAGCGTCTCAAAGTAGGCTTTGACAGTTGGATCATGGAGGAGGCTGTTCAGTCGAGCCTGGTCACACAGCATGGCATGTCCGCGCAAAGTCTGCACAGGCATAGTGCGACATGCTCGCAGCCTGGGAGGTGTAGGAGGGATTAAGGTTCACAGGGCATGAAGGTCCAAGAACCGGACCTCGAAACCTCTGCATACCAAGTGCATGTCTCTTGGTTGCACACCGAACAAAGCAATTATTACGCAATTGTGAACAGATTCGTGGCAACTCAACAAGTGGAACTATGTCAAACCAGCCACGTTCGAGGCGTTTCACATATGTCCTCCCATGTAATATAGTCACAGTAACAGTTAGTGCGAGCTCTGCTGGACAGGCATCGAAAACAACAGCACCACCCACTGACCTCCGTAATAACACCAGACTCGTCGATCGCTTTGAACATTTCGTCCAACTTGCGAGTATACCTCAACAAGAGCTTGACGCGTTCCACCAATCTTTGCACATATGTACATATTTACTACGTATATGTGCAGTGTAAACATGCAACTTCGTCCTGTCGGAAAATTGACTGCTCAAGCATGTAGCGGTAGACATATCAGCACTTCAGATGCATCCACTACCGAACCACTAGAACTACAATCACATCTACTTCTACTACGAGTATCGTTGGTATTCCTCTACTGGTACCACCACTACGTTTCCCACCACCATGACTACTGCTGCTGCTGCGGCTGCTGCTGCTAGTGCTAGTTAGTACTAGCACTAGGACAAGGAATAGTACAAGTACTGGTACTAGTACCACTACTACTACGACTACCAGGACAAGGGCGAGGACGAGGACGGCCACGCAAACGACTACGAATAACCACTACTGTATCACGACTACCACCAGCTGCTGCAAGTATTACCACTGCTGCTACTACTACTACTACCACTACTACCACTACTACCACTACTACCACTACTACTACTACTACTACTACTACTACTAGTACTACTACTACTACTACCACTTCGCACGAGTACTGCTGGCACCATCATCACGACGACGACGCTACTACTCCTACTATTATCCGGTACTCCTATTTTCTGCTCCTGCTCCTTTTGCTGCTACTCCTATCACGGCTGCTGCCCTCTACTTTTGCTCCCAATGGCATTGCTAAATGACGACCATTGCCCTACTTACTACTGCGCCGACAAAGTACTAATTGCTGCTCATCACCTGTCCTCGGATGGGGACAGCGACCATTCTGCTCGTGTTTCCTCTCGATTGCTCCGAGATGCAAAGTCCTTTTGCGCATTTGGACCTTCAGCTGGTGTTCAGCATCGCTCTGCGCTGCATCCAAGCTGTCCTGCAGGGCGGCCACATCTGTTCTGAATAACAAACAGCATTGAGTGCTTTGGGATAATACAGATTCTGCCGGAAGTCATTTACCGCTGGCAAAATTCCGTTCTGAAACTATGACTTTGCCTAGGCACTGAATGCAGACAATACTTGAGAAAGTGGAAGATGGTTCCATCTACCCTTCGGGCAGAAAGCCCGCCACAGCAGTCATAGCTCTGCTCGGTTGAGCTGCGATTTAAGTCCGTTCAGGCTTTACCCCTATCTACGAAGCTGATCGAAGTACCTGCGTCGCAAGTCCGCCCACGAGCTCTCTTCTAGGAAAAGCAGAACCCACAACCCCAAACCCTAACCCAAAACCAAATCCCCAAGTACGCATAGGGCTCAAGCGTGGCCAGGCCTTCAAGAACACGGCAGTTATGACTCTCAGGATAGCGAAGACCTGGGCTGTTCTTGGAGGCACTTTCAAGCTGTAATTGGTTGTGGGGCCTCCTTAAGCATATACCGTATATTTTGAACATGGAAATGGGCCCCTATCGGACCCGGGGAGTCTCCTGTTCTTTTGAAACATTTATCCACACATGTTTTTTGCCCTTGGTTACGTCGCGAAACTGGAGAGCTACACGTTGCAAAGTTGTGTGCCGAACTATTCGGCAGCTACCTTTTCCAATTTCGCTGCCGCGGCTTTGTAAGGTGAGTTCGGCTCCAATCTGCTAATTCCTGAAGGATCTGCTGGCCTTCAGCGGCGAAAAAGCATGTTTCAAGTTGCAGAAACACGTCAAATCAACATATTTCACATCGCCGTGCTATCCGAAAAAAACTTAGCGGTAATAGGTTCAACATACGGTGTTGAACTTGAGGGTTTTTGGCTGGCATTAGCCTTGGTGTGGGTTCGAACCGGGACAAGTGGGAGCAGCTGCTGTACTTGCTCGCAAGCCCGCAGCAAGCGCTTGACTCGGCAGGTAAGTTTCCTTTGGTTAGTAGGGAATCGAGGAACGGGGTACAATTATCACCACTACTACTACTATTCTTCCATTCCCCACTAACCCAAGGTAAGGTAAGGTCAGCCATGGCAGGGCTAAGGAGGTTAGGGTTTGGTTCGGGCCCTGTTCTTCGGAAATCTCGGAAGTTCATCGGCGGTTCCATCACAATGCTCGCTTCTTCGTTGCTGTGGGCTTGCAGAACTTTCAGATGGTTGGTCGGTCTCAGAAATCAGCGATCATATAACAGTAATAATTTGAAAAAACAGTTATAACGATAATGATTATTATAGACATACAAAAACAGTAGCTCTTTTGATGATTGTCCTATACAACCCCAGCCAGTGGAGCCAGCATTGGCGACAGTCGGTGTTGAGCCGCACTGCTGTCCCTGTGCTGGGTCCTGTTTTGGTTTTGCAGTTCTTAAGATCTAGGGTAGCTATTCATTCAGGAGCTAGAACTTGAACGGTCTTGCTCTGCATCAAGGCTACATTACTTAAAGCCGCCTCTTCATTTTGCGATGCTGGTTGATCACGCTTATTCAACCCGTCCCATCGTTGTGCGACAGCAGTTGACCACAGTCTTAAATCTGGCTGCCGAGATGTGCAGGGAATCAGCAAAAGCTGTGCGCAAACGAACTGTCTAAACCGAAAACATCTCGACCCCTAAACCAAGCATTTGCTGGACCGCTCTGCCTCTCAACACGTCCTCGAGCCCTATCCGACAACCAACTCGACTAAAATTCCGATGGCGGCTTGTTGAATTTGTTAAGCTTGCCCCATGATTTGGCGACAGCGGTTGATCACACTTCTGAATACCTTCCCCTGATGAATTAGGCGATGGCGGTCGATTTAACTTGTTGAACCGCTCCTTCATTAGGCCATGGCGGTTAACAGTATTTCTTAAGCCTGCGCCCTCGCTTTGTAATCTCGGTGGATCACGGGTCCTGAACCCGCTACCTGGCGGTTTACCACGGTTTACATCCGCGCCCTCATTTGGCGATAGCGGTTGGTCAGACGTCTTAATCTGCCGATACATTGCGCGATGCCGGTGGGTCGTACTTCTGGACTGTCCCTCATTTCTTTCCTTCCTTTCCTTCCTTCCTGCTCCTGCGGCTCTAGCTTAAAGCCAAAATCAACAACACTACACCAACAAACGAAGTGAGTTCCCGAATTCTAGAAATCGACTAACACAAGGCCCAGAAACGATAATGGTCACGTAAGCGACGAAGAAGAAGGCGAATGCACGGTTGGCCCCGCTCCTTCGTTCACTGTCAACAGCAGGTGAACTCAAAGTGCCCGGAGGCCGTAAGTTTAGGGTTTAGGGTTTAGCGGTTTAGGGCTTTCTTATCGGGTAGGAGATAGACCGAGCGCTTGATAAATTCGTCCTGCACAGCGCTCGAACTGTCACCATTGAGGCATGGTCCTTCGTCCCTCTGGTTTGGGCACGAGCACTACTTGTTATGCAAAAGTGTCCATGTTTCCGTGCAGCAGGCTTGAAAGATGCCCAGAAGTTGAGGACGTGTGTCGAGGAGGCATGCGGGTCCGGCACAAATGGAGTGCGCGCTCATGGTGACTATACCCCTCCCGCGCGTGTACGCCCCGGTCGTGATAGCCAAAGGAAGTGACACTGCGCTTGTGGTAGTCGTGGCTCAAGGAAGCATGCTTTACAGCCACGACGAGCTGCAGCGACTTGTTATTGCTTGTTGCAGTACAGTGCAGTGAAAGCCATGAGCCCCTGCACGACAAGGAGCAGCACTGGGCGAACGTTGACGGGCCAATTGCCAGCCTGAATAGGGCTCTGGATCTTATCGTCGCTACAGCAACAGTATTGAGCTAGCACAACAGAATTTAAGGCGCCCGATACTGGAAAGAACTCTTGATACTGACACAATACTTGCAGCTATTCACGACATGCAGGAGCAATGATTTGCATGTCAATCCAATCAGTCATTCTTCCGGATAAACACTACTGAAACACAGACGCATTCCGCTCCTGCATATCTACTCTGTACTATTCATCCCCGAAGCCATATGCACGACTCAGGCCCGCGAAACCATCAGTTCTCCATGGCTTCCCAAAACCGACAAACCGGATCCCCGTGATGATCCTGAATCCAGGTTCTGGCAGCAGCAGAAGCTGAAAGACATCCCCAATGCACGGTGGCATTGGACCAACTGAGCTTCGCACGAAAGTTATTTCGTAGATGGTGTACAAAGATCTCTGGGCGGTTCCTTAACAGCACATGGGTCTATGTAGAAGGTAAGCCATGCCTGAAACTTGGATGTAGCTGGGCTCGACGACGAATGTCTGCGCCCTCATCCCATACTTGCGGTGAACACATGGCCCAGAATTGCTTCCTATTTGGTCCGAAGCTCCGTAATGTTGCCACAACCAGATTCTGTCTTCTCTGTTCACTTGCGGATTGGTGATGTAGTCCTGGATGAGGTTCCCTATCCTCAGCTGCTTGCAGGCACAAGGCCTGAGCTTCTGAGCAGCCGGTCCCTTAATGATGAAGAAGACGACGATGATGCTTGCGATGACCATGATCATGATGACGATGATGATGATGATGGCCACTGCGGCGCGACAAAGCCGAATGCATTATGATCAACTTGCATGACATACTGTAGGTAGATCACCAAGCAACGTCAGCGCCCCCACCAGCATGAAAATCGTCAGCAGTACCATCGACCAACATAAGGAGGGCAAAAATGAAGTGCACGCCTTCCTCGGTCGTTCATTCACGGCATGAAGTGCTTCGCACACAGCTCTGGCTTTGGGATGACTTCGGGCCAGTACAGGGCAACATCAGTAGGATTCGCTGCACTCTTGACTGATCCAGCTAGTATGTGGCACACTCGCAAGCCGGATCGAACCTTTGGTGCCTTTCACAACCTTCGGCAATCTTTTCACATGGAGAAATTCGTGGCAACCATTTCGGTGATTATAACTAATAGTCACAAGTCATCATGTCTTGTGGTAGTACTTGTGCTGCTGATCGTGGCAATGCTGCTTGTGCATAAACTCTATCTGCGACTACGAATACATCCTGACCACGACCTGAGAGGCAGGCAACTTGTCAGCAACAAAACTAAGCGAGCTTCAAGAGCATGTGGACGCCCTCGACGAACTTGCCTTGGTCGGTCAACCTAATGCTGAAACCGCTACAGTGCTTGGCCCCCAAATTTCCCAATACTTGCCAGGCACAGCATGGCTACTTCCCGACTCATGGCATCTTACTGGCATCCATAGCAACCCGCAACACCTACTTGGAGGGTCAGGGGACTTAGTAAGTAGGTTATGTGGCATTCTAAATTTGGTAACTCCATTTTGGGTACTTATATCTTTTTTTATAACCTACTTACTAAGGTCCCCTGCGCCTCCAAGTACCATCCTGCAAACTTGAAAACCGCCCCCTGCGTGCGCGATGTAAGCCGGTGACAGAAGCGAATCAGTCGCAAGGATGCAGCCGCTCGGATGAGATGCAAGACCGTCCTTGCGAGGTGATCCAAACCGACATGCTCAACTCGAAAAGTATTTGCAGGGCACTTTGAAGCAACAGTCTTCAATAATGTTCCTTAGCAGCTATGCCTGTACTCGCGTATGCAGCGGCTCATGCAAGCCGCTGACAGAGTCTTGTATGCCCTTCTTTAAGCTCGCCGAGCTTGGTGCTAGGTTGGTCCGCAGATACACACGCAGGCATGAACAAGCGCGTCAAGCATGTGGTGCACCACGGACCTGTGGTGCCACAACCCATATTAGACAGTCACGGTCGTGACTACAAAAACCCAAGTCAATACTGCCACAGCGCGCCCGCCGTGGAAACAAGCAACACAACTGTGCCCAGTCGGCGAACTGCGGCCGAGGAACGCATCCGCGGGATGGGCCAAACCGCCAGCGTGCGCAATGATCACCAGATCAGCAAGGGAGGCCGTTGTAACACAGGCCTCGAAGCAGTTCATGCTGGATCTGCCTCGGAAAATGCGGGGCAGATGGGTGTGCGCTGAGGAATATGTACAACAATATAGGGGCCTTAATAATTAGCATAGGGCTTTGGGTATATTAGCCTATAACCATAATAAGGAACCCCCCAAAAGAGCAAAGCCTTTGCAGCTCATATTGCTTCCTGGCGGCAGAAGTTAAACCGCTGGACGAACATCCGCAGGGACAAATCCAGCAGAAAGTAAAAGTCGAACACCACGTCAAGCCTCGGGTGCTGACAGGCCTGCTGAATGACCATGGCAAATATGCACTAACCAGTATCTCAAGCAGGATTGTGCTTGCAAGGCGGGAAGCACCAAATTAAGTGTACTAGTATACGAGCCCCCTGCCGCAGCAGTTCAACCAGGTCTGAAGTCATACTACTTAAAGGATCATGGGACTTAGTAACTATGTAACCCCAATTAGGGTCTTATAACCTTACTTACTGAGTCCCATGATCCTCCAAGTACCCAGATGGAGTATCAAAGGCAACTTGCATGACACAACTGGGTTCGTGTAGAAGCTACACCAATTTAGCCCTGCCCTAAAACCGAAGCCCATGGCCTAAATCCTAAACCCATTGCTTGTCCAGGCCACACACGTAAATGATATCTCCACGAATTTTCGGATGCTGCAGGCCAGTCTGACAGGTCCAGTACCAAGCCAGAACTCGCACCTGACGCGGAATCGGAGGTTTCGTTACATAATACAAGCGCCTTGATAATCGCCTTAATAATCGGAGTAGAATTCCTTGTGCAGTAAAGGGTTCCATATAAGGGTGACTGTAAGGACTACTAAGGACTCAATAATGAGAATAGGGTTTTCGGGCATATTATACTAGAAGTATAATGAGGAGCCCCAAATTGGTATAGCTAATTAGTATATAATTGTAAGGTCCCTATACCACATAAACTTCTTTCCGAAGGCTGCGCTTAACATGAGAAGGCCACGAACATCCAGGTACGACATACCAGACAATCCGGACCAAAGCCATGGTCGAGCGATAATGTAGGACCCTGATTAAGAAACCTTGGGCCTCTATGCGGGTTCTTTATATGGATCCTACTAATGTTGACCTACTTTTTATAAATCCCCCCTCAATTATAAAACCCCACCCCCGGGACTCAATTATAAATCCCCCCTCAATTACAAAACCTGCCGGCCCAAATCCCCGAAATTAGATACTTCTTGTTCTGTGTTGTTGTGTGTTGGTTGAAAGAGAAAGAGAGAGAGAGAGAGAGAGGGAGAGGGAGAGAAACTGCAGCTACTACGAGAGCTTGAGGTCTGCAGAGAGAGAGAAACTGCAGCTACTGCGAGAGCTTGAGGTCTGCAGAGAGAGAGAAACTGCAGCTACTGCGAGAGCTTGAGGTCTGCAGAAAGAGAAAAACTGCAGCTACTGCGAGAGCTGGAGGTCTGCAGAGAGAAAGAAACTGCAGCTACTGCGAGAGCTTCAGGTCTGCAGAGACAGAGAAACTGCAGCTACTCAGATTTAGAGGGCCTCAGAAACCATGCCTTCCTTAATAAAATTCCTTATTCCCGGAGCCAAAAATCAATCCATCCTGATGGAGTACTAACAAAGGCCGGTCTTCGCAATTATAAACCCCCCTCAATTATAAACTCCCGCCGGGGAGGGCCTTTTGCTTTAGAAGCCAAACCCTTCATTGGGAAAGCTTTAAATAGCGTCCAAAGCCACGGGACTCCGAAACCGCAGATTTTAGAGGGCCTCAGAAACCATGCCTTCCTTAATAAAATTCCTTATTCCCGGAGCCAAAAATCAATCCATCCTGATGGAGTACTAACAAAGGCCGTTCTTCGCAATTATAAACACCCCCTCAATTATAAACTCCCGCCGGGGAGGGCCTTTTGGTGGTGCCCTTAAAGGCCTTGAAAAGGACAGCAAGCTTTACAGGCCAAGCCCTTCATTGGGAAAGCTCTGGATTCAAAAGAAAAGCAAGCTGTGGGAGCAGAGTCGTTGATTGGAATAACCTACCTTTAGCAGCCATGCCCTTGCTTGCGAAAGCTTCGGCTTTCAAAGGAGGAGGGAGAGGACAGCAGGATCATTGTTCATTGCTGGTACTTTACCGAACGTGCCTTATCCGCCGGAAGAGCTGGACTCAGAGGCTGTGCTACTACTGTAGTGCTACTGTACTATACTACTGTGCTACTGTACTATTGTGATACTATGCTACTGTACTACGACGACCGACCCCCCCCTCAATAATCAATCCCCCCCACCCTGGGCGCCAAATCAATCAGGGGGGGGGGGGGGTTATTAATAGGAGGTTGACATTATTTCGGGGTTTATAGGCCCAGCAGGGTTTCTTAATCAGGTTCCTACATTATTATAGTACCCCTTATAGATCCCTTATAGTAACCCTTATAGACCCCTTTAAATCATCAACTCTGAACCTCCGAATGTCCCGACCCATGTCCGGCATCAGGAAACAAAGCAACCACGCCTTCAAGTTCTAGCTCCACAAGGAGCAGTATGACGTGCAGCCCGACAACGACGGAAGCAGTATATTCGAGACGTCCTGGCTTGGACTTGCGACTTTTTGGTGGAGTATAATGCTTACCAGGCACTGTGGCTACATACAAAACCCAAAACCTTGCCAAGCTCCGCCCCGAGTCTGTCATACCTGGCAAGCCAACCGCGGATTCCCGCCAGCTTGCGGTCCGCGGTTCGTGCGGTGCCACCCAAGCTGTGGCCAATATTCACGGAGTCCTCACTACTGCTGTGGTGAGGGTAAGATTGTGCGTGGCGAGTGTGAAAGGCTAGGACCACTTGCCGTTCCATGACCCTACACGGACAAGCCGACAAGCCCCAGCCGCAAAGTCCACATCCCAACCTGAGCCAACAAGTTGGGCAAAGGCCTCGGAGATCGGCGACATAGTCGAGAGAAACGTCCTGATGTCCTGAGCAGGATCAGGCCATCGGCGATTGAGAAGCCTCGTCATGTTGTCTATGCCTGATATCCACACCAACATAGGAGGAAGCTTCCGGTCTGTGGTGGTGGTTTTAGAGTCGTCAACCACTTCGGCGCTGAACTTTCAAACCCGCCACTCCACTCCCAAAGTCCTCAAATCGAAGGTCCGAGTGCTGAACAAAGACAACGGACGGTGACAAAGTAGCACAAGGGATTGGGCTTAGGGTTTAGGGCACAGTACTTGCAACAGAACAGTAAGGACCGCTGCAACTGCAACAGCTACTGATGGTACTATTTGAGGCTATTGCCAACATCGACAAACAGTACCAAAAATGTATGAGCACCTATATGTCATATATATATATATATATATATATGTATATATATGAAAATATATAAGAGTTGTAAGAAAGTTACATATAAACATGTATGTACATAAACACATTGGACATGTATATTGCGCTGCCGAGCACCTTGGACCCAATGCCGACCTCTCGATGCTCCTGGCTCATCATCTTTTTCACAGCCCGTGTGTAGATGATGGTGGTTATGCTGATGATGATGGTCATGCCGACCATACTGATGCTGAGGACGCAGTTGGTGTTGTTGTCGACGTCCCTCGAAGTTGTTGCTTTTGTTGTTGTTGTTGCATCTGCTGCTCTTGCCGTTGCTGTTATTACGCCTCTGCTACCATGGCGGTGGTTGTGGTCCAGTTGCAGAGTGGTCAAGCTACTGTGGTGATGATCTGATGATGACGGTTTTGGTGCCTGGGCCTGAGTCTCAGAGTAGCACCGCAGCTGCTCCTGCTACTACTTCCTGCTACAGTACCACATCAGCAGCAACAATGTGAGAAGATGCCTTCCACCGGCTGACCACAACTCTCAGCTACTCGAGCGCAAATATACGCAAACCCTACTTGTACCTGGTGTTGTGTCGGAATTAAGAAGGTTGCTTGCTTACTTTGGCCTCATCCACACGTCTGAATGCCGAAACAAGTTTGTCCTTCGCAGAGAGTTGCTGCTCGAAGTTGTCCTCACCCTCGCTGAAAGAAGGCTCGCTGACAAGTGGCTGCATCGTCCTCCCACGATCTGGCACACTGAGAAGCTACGAAACCAGCCGATGCACCGGCAGCCTCAAAGCGACACTGTTCCTGCTGACCCTGCTGCAGCATGCTTCAGCTGAGACTGATGTTCTTCGTTTGCTCGAACGACACTCCAGAGCCTTTCCCAAAGCAACTCCTTCCAGTCTTGATCCAAAAACAAGTTCACCCTTGCAGAATTGCAGATCATGGCTCGTAATCAAACCCGCGTGCATGTTTGCAGTCGCACGCCTGAATTCAAGCGAAACTTTCCGAAATGCTACACCCACATGCTGTCTATAAATTTCATTTGCAACGAATCTCTACCTCTGTACCCACTGTATAACCGTCCCATGGAGTTGTGCTTGAGGGCTTGCTTGGATGTGTTGTTCACGGTTCTTCAGGACCGACGCCCAGCACCATCTTGGTCCTACAGCGCCTTAACACGGTAAGAAACACGAGCAATTCAAGTCGGACTCCAGGACAAAAGACATGTAGCAACAAAGCAAAACAATTGCTCCTGCTGCAAAGCTAGGGCTGCAAGCTCCCTCAAGATGCAAGGGAGTATTGAGGCGAGATATGGCGTCCGTGGTCCTCCTAGAATGCTCGCTCCTCTATTGGTGCGGAAGGGAGCCTATAGGCTGCTGGCACATCAAAGTCCTCTGCTCCATCTTCAACTGGAAGGGGCTTCGGTTCAAAAGCGCGTCCTGTGCAAGAGCCTCCGAGCACGAAGGCGGCAAGTTACTTTGAGTTGTGGACCACTAATGCATTGGTTTGTGTGCCGTGTCTTCCGATAATCTACACTGGCCTCGATGACATCCCGCAGACCGCAAGACCCCACGCAGCCGACTTAACACCACGACAAACGCATACAAACATATACATACACTGCCTAAGCGTGGAGGCCTTCAGATCCTTTGGAGGGTTTAGAGTTTAGGGTTACTCCGGCACTGAAGCCTCTCTGGAAAGAGCAACCAGGGCCCAAGGCCTCGATCTCAGCAGCTGTCGACAGCATGGCGTTCTTCACAAGCCTAGGCCGTTCAGTAACCTATCGGTGAACTTTAAAGGTTTGTATTCACATAGGAACCCATAAAAAAAAACAAAATCGTACATCGTAGAACGACTAGGAGCTCATGGTGCACATCCACCACTTCGAGAAGCTCAGCGTGCTTCTTCCTCGTAGATTTCGCGGGCGACATCTTTCTATCTGTGCACTTTATGTACTTGGGTTGTCGGTTTTAGCCAACTGCGAGGAGGTTCGATTGACTTGCTGCCTGCAGACGCTGGGTGCCAGGAGATTGAAACAAAAAGCGGCAGCGCCCCTTCTTCTGCAAAAGACTTCATGCTTTGGCGACTGTAGGTACCCTTTGGACGGGAGCTGCAAGTTTGTACCCCCAAGAAACACAGATCCTCCAACGTGTAAAGCCACCAATGCAACAGGTCGGGATTTGGGGCTTATAGGATTTAGGATTTAGCCTCCACTACCCCGTGGTTCCAAACAAACATGCCAAGTTGCGACACTGCGTCTTGCAACTCGCATATTACCATGAGAAGACCGGGAAGGTCTGGGGCGGGCAGGATGGAAGGCCTTTCCACCCGGAAAAATTGTCGTGCCCCAAAGACAGTAAAGACTTGAGCCCATGAAGCACCACGGTAGCACAGCCTCACAAGCCAGTGAGTCCGCGTGAACATCGGCCCAAAACAAGCTACGGGCGAAATGGCATTGCAATCCTCCTCGTGCTGCATCTTGAACCCTAAACCCTAAACGCCCTGAACCCTAAACGCCCTAAGCTCTAAACTCTAAACGCCCTCCCCCCTAAACCCTCAACGCCCTAAACCGTTGGTTCGGCAGCAGGAGGTGCTCCCACACCTGTTCTCGAACTTTGCGAGGGCATACTCGTCCTTCGGCCCAAGCATGGCCCAGGCCTTGAGGCTCTAAGAGTCTCTTCGGGCTATACCCCTCTTAGAACCATAATAAAATATAATAAACACAACATTTCTAATATTCTCTTGGGTTTTATATGAACAAAAGTAGAAAATAATTCCTAAGGAAACTATAGTATAGGGCACTTTAGAGTTTTATGGGGTAGGGCTTAGGGGTTTAGGGTTTAGGGCACTTTAGGGTTTCGGGGGTAAGGCTTAGGAGTTTAGGGTTGCACTTGAGGGTTTTAGGGGCGGGGTTTCAGGTTATAGGGTTGTAGGGTTTGCAGTAGGTTATCACAGGAATTGAATCAAGGCTTGCAGGTACTACGATTGTGGACGTTGTCGTCGGCCTGAACGACAACCCTGATCTTCGAAGTATCTTGTCATCTTGCTCAGAATTCCAAGCTTCCGGGGCCATGCGACGAAGCCTTGTCTGAGCCGCGGACCGCAACGAGCCTAACTACATCTCTTGCCTGGGCGAGGGTTCAGGGTTTCGGTTTGGGGGTTTACTATAGGGGTCGTCATGCTTAGAATAGGGTTTGGGGGTATATTATACTATGAATATACTATAATGAGGAACCCCAAGATAGTATTGGTAATATTTAGGCCCGTATACTAGGGCTCGGGGGGGGGGGTGGGGGCTCGGAATGTTCAAAGGCATTTCTGAGCAAAGCTTCCTACTTATAATCCTACTTGCAACTACCCATGAACCTCCAAGCAAAGCGCTCAACCTCATCTCACAGAACTTCAACCCACCCCACCTTTAACTGCCCATGGGTCGGCTCAGATCCCCAAATCTGACGCAGAGCTGAGTACCAGGCCCCCAGGACGGGCAGCGTCTCCCTGCGACACGCAGAGACTACTGCTACTACTACTAATAAGAATAAAAACTACTACTACGACTACTACTACTACTACTACTACTGCTACTACTACTACTACTACTACTACTACTACTACTACTACTGCTACTGCTACTACTACTACTACTACTACTACTACTACTACTACTACTACTACTACCACAATTAATATGATTACCATTACTGCTATCATCACTAGTCTTTTTGTACTCTTCCCATTATTATTGCTCTTCTTAAAAATTATCTATGTGTTTTTTGGTGGTCTTACTCATAATTCTTGCTATTGCTTATTGTACTAACCTGCTACTCGGAACTTTTCCCATCTTCGGCCTCGGGCCCTCGAAGGGGAGCTCGGGGCTCCCCTGCGAGGCCCAGTTGACGTAGGAAGCTACAGTAACAATGGTAGTATTAGTTGTCATAAAACTAGTTGTGGTAATAGTAACAATAGTAGTAACCGTAGTAATGGAAATGATTGTTATACTCGTAGTACTAGTCGTGATAGAGGTAATCGTAACAATGGTAATCGTTGAATCATTGTTGTAATAATAAGAACTTACCAATAAAAATGGAGTCGTAGCAGTAGCAATACTACTGATTAGGAAACCCTGACCGTGTAACCCCAGTATACTAGGCTTCATATTACAGATTCACAGTGAGGAGCTCAAGGTCCCAAGTCTTTCAGAAGCTGCTTTTGGATGTCATGCTGCACATTGCTGCAGATTTCATTAGCTTTTGCTTTGGTTTCGATGTGTGCCTTCCTGATGCGCAGTTCCTGGGCTCCAGAACTCTCTGATTCTGCCCTCGAACTTCAGAATACTCCTTCCTCTCGTCTCCTGGGCAATGGGGCTTCGCCTGAGCCTGACACAGTGGGCCCGCGAACATGGTTTGCGTCTTCGATGGCTACATAGACGAAAACAAGAGGATTTGGCACGACACCACACACGGTATCACACGGTCTTGTTCAGCACCGTTGCCCCCCCCCCCCCCCCCCCACACACACACACACACACACCATAGGAAACTGACAAGCGATCTGAAACGTCAAGATCCCATCACAACTGCGCCGTGGCCCTTCAAGAGACTCCAGCTTCAGTCTCTGCAACAAACTCGCACTCCGAAGCTCGCAGAATCCATCATAACAGCAGGACTTAATTGCAACTAGCAGCAAAGCGTCCTGGAAACTGTGCCTCTGCACCGAAAGCTAGTCAGCCCCATACTTTGGCCGATCTTTCCGAGCTCCCGGCACGACGTGCGGCATCGCTTTTCTGAAAACTTGCCGCCCTTGCTGCATTGAGAATGGAGTGGTTCAACTCTTTTGCACAGTCTCTTGTCAAAAGAACTGCTCATCCTTTCGTCTCGGGCTAGGCCCTGTTTCTAAAACATGTTGCATTGTAGGAGGTGGATAGCAGCGGTGAACGTGCAGTCCGCAGGACGCGCTTCGGGGTTCACTGCATGCTGCACATCTAAGGTTTGTACATCCTCTGCTGTCCAAATCAAACAACCAACGAGTACCAACGAGATTCAGTGATTCACTTGACCCCAAACCCCAAACCTTCAACGCAAAAACCTGAGACCCCAAACCCACTCAACCCTCAAACGCAACTAGGAATTTGGATTAAGGGGGGACCCTTGGGGACATGGACCCTCTCACCAAGGTCACTGATACAAGAGCCAGAACTAGGGTTAGGAAGGGTCGGGTTCCCTTAAAGGGGTCTCCATGGGTCTCCCCTAAAACCTAGGATCAAAGGGGAAAAGGAGGGGCCCTTAATGGGGACTCCTACCCTCTAATGGGCTATATAATGGGTATATAATAGCTATATTAAGGGTATATACCTAGGGGTCCTTATGAAGCGTCCCTCCTCTTACCCTTGGATAGGAGAAACTTGCCTGCAGGATCGATGTAAGCACGAGCTCGCGCAACTAGCGCTCGGGCGAAGACCTGCTTGCGAGTTCCGGGGGGTTTTGGGAGTGCGGGATTTAGGGGATTACAGGGGTTTAGGGTTTAGGGTGGCCGTAATGGTAATCAGTAGTCTTTCAAAAGGGAGATTGCTATTATTACTGCCATGCACTGCTATTACGATTAGCTACTTCAACTGTTAGTATTGAAACTGCTCTTGCTATTGCGGTTGTTATTTCATATTATTTCTATCAGTTATTACTATTCTTCATATTAGTGTTTTACTTTTAGTTCCACCATGATTTTTGTCATTATAATGTTATACATAACAAGTATATATGGTATATGTGGTCTGATTGTCCTGCGCTCACGGATTCCAGCCTGCGGGAAGCGCAGGAACTTTGTCACCTCATGCGCCGGCTGCTGGAGGCCCTGGCATCTGTACAAAAATGTTCAATATTATGACTAGTATCTATAATTTTTACTATGCTTATTGTTTTGATTAGTATTGTGAATATCATTATTATCATTATCCGTTTTTCCTTATGCCTTTCTTTCTCTAGGGCCTAAAGCTCCGGTCAAGGCAGGCCGCCCCTCGATTACAGGGGTCTTCGGGGCAGTGGGCTGGAACTTCAGTCTGCCAGTCTTCGTTAAAGGATCATGGGACTTAGTAACTATAGGGTTCCTTATATTAAAGGGCTCCTTTAACGGGGATCTATAGGAGGGTTTCTAGTATAGGAGGGGTTTTAGGGTCTACTTAAAGGATCATGGGACTTAGTAACTAGGGTTATAATTAGGGTAACTATACTTATAACCCCAATTAAGGTACTTATAACCTTACTTACTAAGTCCCATGATCCTCCAACTTGTTGCACAAACTCACACCGACAAGGAGAAAGGACTTGCAGAATGAGAAGAATCTTTCCTCTCCCCCGAGAAACAACAAACTCCAGCAGCAGCCATCCTTCGAAGGAAACTCCGACAGGTTCCGTCTCAACTGTGATCAGCAGCAGTTCTCCAAGAAAGCGCGCCAATCAAGTGCAGCATAGAACATCACTGACACGGTCATCACTTACAACATATCGTGAATCCATACAAGCCTTCCTCGCATTCTCTCTTTGGTTCGACTCTTCAGTACCGTGGTTGGAGTTTTGTTGCTACGTCGCTACCCTCCGTTGCTACACCCGCCCGTGCATGCAAGCCTTCTGCATGTACTCATCGGCCAACTGCAAAAACTGCTGATGCACAAACTGCTGGTCTGCAAGGGAGCTCAGCCTTGCAATCTGACATTTGAGCAGCGAAGAGGGCAGTGTGTCAGGGGGATGAGACTTGAGTCAGTCATGCTAGGCGTCTGAGGACAGCGCATATCCGACAAAGTCACCTTTGCCACAAGGCGTTCAGGGTCTTGAACATGCACCCCATGGGACAGAATTTTCCGACAAGCAGCCACAGAAATCGAGACCAATGGGTAGATAACGGAGATTACACAAAGAAGGCTGCCTCTTGCAGGTGCTTCCTCCCCCAACCCTAATATCGGAAAGCCCGTCTCAATAGCAAGAGTAACAATAAACGTACTCATAACAAGAGTAACGTTAACTGCAGTAATAATCATAACAATTATATTATATAATAATAATAATCATAATAATCATAATAACAATAATGATAGATACATTATAGAGTAATCATCAGAATAATCACAGTAAAGGTAATGAGAAGTCTGAGCTAACACTTTCACCGAAGCTCAGATCGAACCAGGACGCGCTGGCCTGGGGCCTTAAACCCTGAACCACAAGGTTTGGGGTTTCAGGGTTTAGGGGCTTTGGGGCTGAGGGGTTCAGGGGCTTAGGGTTTAGGTTTTCTTGGTTTAGGGTTTTTGAGGTTTAGGGCGAACACCGATCATCACAGGCTTGCACAAAGCCAAAGCCAGTCTTGCGTAACATCTCCAAGCTGCCATGTCGAAGGCATCGACTTTTCCATCCACAGCGCTGAAGTCCTCTTCCTTCCAAGTGAAGCGAGGGTTCGGGATTTAGGATTCGGGGAGCGAGCAGGTGCAATGCTAGAGGTGACATGGTAAGGGGAGTCGACCAATCCTGGTTAAGGACAGAAGCAAGAGTATCCCTTCGCCCTTCGTGCATAGCCAGACACTCAACATCAAGCGTGTCAGGCAGACATAGATATCTCTGGCAAGGGACTTCATGGGGCGCTTGTAGCATTTCTGGTCAATGCCATCCCTGGCAGATTGCAAGCACGGGCTACAATCGCCGAGTGCGACCACTCAGGATTGCTTCTCCACAGCTCTACACAAAGCTCTTGATGCATCGGGTGTGTCAGGTCACATCATGTAATGGCAGGGCAGCCCGATGCCTGAGGAGGCCGCAGCCTTGGCGCGGCTCTCGCGATCAACATCTAGGACCCGCACGGCTGGGTTCTTCGGCTTGGCAGGATCAAGAAGCAGCGCCACGGTGCAAAATCTATTCAACCAGCCCAGCAGCCCGCAACTTCTCGGCATGCTCTGGAAGATACGGTCGTCTTACCACCACCACCACCACCACCACGACGACTACTACTGTACCAGTACCACCAGTATTGGAAAACATGATGTATGACGATAATGGGTCCTGAGTCATGATGCCAGAACATCTAGAGGAAAAGATGTCGAACAGCTGACATGGGCATCACTCGGCCCGCGGCTGTGATCGCACAATGCCTGCATGAGCTCGACGTTGCGCACGCCTGCCTGCCAGCACATGCGCAGCTCGAACGCTCAAAACCCTGCAATGCGTCGTGGAATTTCATGTCCATGAACTGAGAAATCCAGCGGCTACACCGCAATCTCTAGCCAGTGAAGCCACCTTTAAATTCCTGGAGCAGCTGCGCCTTTGCAAAAGCTTTGGAGATCGCTGCGACATCCCGCGGTGTGAGTTCCTTGGAGCTTGGGCAGGCTACCAGGTAACCAGAATGAGGCAGTTGTGCGGTTCTTTGCTTCGGGGCTTCGGGCTCTCGGATCTTCGGTAATTAACTTTGGTCTTTCAAGCAGCGACAGAAATCAGCCGTCTCGCCACAACCCTCGTGTCATGCCGGCTTTGTTCTTCGGGCATGGCGGAAACGCCGGGCGCCGCACGGCTAGGCGTTCGGTCCGCAAGGAGTCCTTCGCCGTACTCTCGAACACCTCTGCAGGCGAGCTCTTCCGGGTCTAGGGCAGATCCCCCCGATGACGCAAGTAAAGAACTGAGGTCGGAAGTACCACGCAGCCGTAACCCCGCTCCAGCGATGCTCGGCTGAGGGATCAAAAACCAAACTGGAATCAACATCTTGGACCAACAAATGAATCGTAAGTGGGATCAGCCAAAACTCAAACGCTTTTTAATGGATCAAAAACCAAACATCTAAACCGCAGTGATCAAAATCGTAGCAGCAATCCTCATAGTCGCCGCAGCGGCCGGCGTCGTCGTAGTAGTAGCAGACAGTAGCACTTGTAGTAGCAGTAGCAGAAGCAAATGTCGCCGTCGTCGGAGTAGTGGTGGTCGTCGTAGTCGTAGTCGTAGTCGTAGTCGTCGTAGTAGTAGTAGTAGTGCTAGTAGTAGTAGTAGTAGTAGTAGTAGTAGTAGTAGTAGCAGTAGTAGTAGTAGTAGTAGTAGTAGTAGTACTAGTAGTAGTAGTAGTAGTAGTAGTAGTAGTAGTAGTAGTAGTAGTAGTAGTGGTAGTAGTAGTAGTAGTCGTAGTAGTTATTATCACTATTATTATTATTAGTAGTAGTAGTAGTAGTTATTATTAGTATTCTTATTAATATTATCAGTATTATTCTTATTGTTATTAGTAGTAGTAGTAGTAATAATAATACTAGTCGTTGTGGTGGTAATGGTGGTGGCGGTAGTGCTGGTAGTAGTAGTAGTAGTAGTAGTAGTAGTAGTAGTAGTAGTAGTAGTAGTAGTAGTAGTAGTAGTAGTAGTAGTAGTAGTAGTAGTAACAGTAGTTGTAGTAGTTGTTGGTGTCGTTGACAGCTCTACTGCTAGCCTTTAGCCTTTTAACCTTGGTTAAAAGGTCGTGAGGATAGCGGTGACTTGTAGCACAAGTAGTAGCTCCTTCCTTCCTTCCCTCCCTCCCTCTGTTTGAGAAGGGAATACCAGTTTGTGAGTGTTCACGGGCCACCAATACTGCAATTTACAGCATACCTGATTCTTGCGTTTTTTTGTATCCAGGTTTGATTATTGTTGATTCACTGTTTGATGTTTTGGCCGATCCCTGTCTGATTCTAGTTGGTTCCTGTCCGGTGATGCCCGGCTACCGCTGGAAACGCACAATGCAAACAGCTTAGTATGGGTTTACCGGCTTGGGAAGTATAATTCAGATCTTCTCAGAGTCGTGGCAAGCTAAAATGCCACGAATTTGAACTCCAGCCCAGATGAAACACACTGACAAAGTTAGCGATCTCTGTATGCATGCCGAACTGGCAAATTTGGTCCCATCACAGAAACACCACCTGATATATCATGTTATGACAAGTTGTGTTTCATGATCTCTTGTCGTATTCAACATAAAAGAAGCAAATAAACAAACTACACATTAAGCAACCAACAGCAAAGAGATCTCGATATATATATATATATATATATGTATATCAAAGCAGCCGAGGTGCCGGGGCACTCTCGTGGCTGATGTAGGCAAAGTTCCAGCAGAACATCGCGAGGCCACATCTGTCGAGCTTCTGCACCTGCCGCAGCGTCGCAGCGAGGGAGTCGGGACTGGGTTTAGGGTTCAGGGTATCGGCTTGGAGGTTTTACAGCATTGTGCTACTGAGCCCACCTGTTGACGGCTTGAAAGTTTCTATAAAGGCTGCTCTCACTATCATTTCAAAAATGGCGATTACTTGGAGGTTCATGGGTAGTTGTAAGTGGGGTTATAAGTCCCCTTATATGGGTTATATTTATGGTTGCCCTACTTATAACCCCGCTTATAACTACCCATGAACCTTTAAGTGGTGTCTGCTTGACTTCGATTCTACTGCCACTGATGCCACTGGGTCGCCTCCGGCACGACCTTCTGGGCAACTGCCTCAAACAGGTCCTTGCAAGGGCAAGAGCGGCAAGGAGGTTTCCAAAAGGAACTGACACTTGTAATGTAGGTGCCTTAGTAATTAAATTGGGGTTCTGGCGTCCATTGTACTATAGTTACAATAAGGAGCCCTTAAGATAGTATCAGTATTGGTAATTATTTCGGCCCTATATTCGTTCATTCCTTCCTTGAAGGTCCAGAACCTTTCCGCATTCATCTTCTCTGTGGAGCTCAACAAGGCTTGCTGTTGCCCTAAACCCCTAAACCCTGAGCTCGGGAACGGTTGACATGCAAGTGAGTTCAGGTTTTTTCGCCGGTCTGAGACCAAGTACCATTCTCGACTTGGGATTTGCCGACAATGGGGTAATTACCTATTTCAGGATCCTACTATTGAGGGTACTATATTAGGGTCCCCTTTTGTCGGAGACTCCCACTTCGTCTGGAAGTAAGCTCTCCTGCCCCCCTGAAACGGCTGAGCTCGTCACCGCGCACAGGATCAGCGGCTTACAAAAGCTCCACATGAAGTAGACACAGCCTGAGCAGGTAGATCGGCAGCACGCAACTTGTAACTCCTTTGCCTGGAACCCAACTACATGCCTGAAAGCCCAACTCCCACAGGGCCAAAACAGCTTCAGAAGCCGAGGAGAGCGCAAACTGGGTGGATGTCATTGATCCTCAAACTCAGACGCTCGGATGTGAATACCGCATAATGACTGGCTGAGCGTTCGTCACACTTAATCACTGAAGTACTCAAGGAATAGAAATTCTTGAGCTTGCCTTGGGTGCTGCAAAAATACCGGCCAGCCACGTCTTATGTATTGTTATTTCAGCTTGGTGTGAGGACATTGGCTCTTAGTACCGTGCGACCAGGAACTTGATCCCATCGTCACAGCAAAATGTGCTCCGCACGATGCATTCTGACGTTGCTGTCTATACAGCAAAAAGTGCATGGCAGTCGTAGCAACAAACGAAGTGTTGCACCTGAATCAGCCGTGTACTTCCATCGCCACAGCAACCGCAGCCATGCGGCCTTTCCAGTAGCAGTGGGGCCAAGTGATCGTAGAACTCATTGGCTGCGAAACCACGAAAATCTCCTCGGTCTGTGGACGTGGGTCAGGGTTGCGGCGGATGCACATAAAAGCATACTCCCACACTCACACACAGACACATGCACATGCACTTCGCAGCCGGGTGCAGGCAGGTTTGACCTGCTGCTTTAAATGGCAACTCGCAAAGGATGCCGGCTCCGCTGAAGCACTTTCAAAGAGTTTCAGAAGCCGGAATCTGTGCCGGACTGACTGCCTTGTTCGAACAGTTCTCGGTTGAGGCAGCCACGGGAGTTCGCCAAAGAGCCTCCGAAACAGGCTCAGCACTCACAATGTGCAGATGCCCTCACCCTGCATCAATCCAACACTGACTGACTGCTTCGAGCTCTTTGAGGGCTCTTGTTCGGTTTCTCGAGCCCGGCCGCTACACACATGTCTTTTGGCAGCATGTTGCAGCTTGTGTGCCCTGCCATGCCCTGCCTCGGTTTGACCAGACGCCAGCAGAAGCTCGATGGAATGTCCAAAAACAGGGTTCGCGAACGTCCGAGAGAACCTGTGCACACGATATGACGCACGTCTAGCTGTTTCAACCTGCAGTTCTCGCATGTGCATGTGTACGCCACACAAACACGTCTATTTCACGATGTACCTGTGTTCCCTATTCTCCGCATGAAGAAAAGAGGGACACGGTCCACCGGTTTACAGCAAACTACTAATGCTGGCCCCTTCACGATCAACCAGCCTTGCTGGTTTCTTGCCTGTGCGTTCCTCTTTCTTTCCTGAAACCTTCTCTTCCGATTTGTCCGGGTCTTTGCATGAATTGGTCTTGCATGCAAGATGGCTGTAAGTGGTTGCGGTACTTCTGATCTTCTCTGGGCTCCGGATCCCTTTCTGATTATTTGATGGGCCGCACCACACCTGCACCTTCAACTCAACAAGCCCAGAAACATCAATCGCATCCAGAATAATCCGACGAAGGAACACTTACTGCAGCCCAATAAAACCGCAACAGCCGCTCCAAACCACTGTTGTATAGCAAATTATCCGGTATTGTAGTTTATACATTTATATTATGATATACTTTTTGTACCATAATAGGTTACAGTACATTATAGTATACTATTACTGTAGGATGTTATAGCCTATTATATGGTATGCTATATGCAAGTCACTTCTCAGCGCCGGGCGTTCGGCTGAAACTCGACCATGGCTTTTGCCGCCCGTTCGGCCTCAGAGCAGCCCCGGGGGTAGCCATGGTAGCCACAATCTTATCTTGTCACAATAGCATAGTAGATTGTAGTATACTAGTATAATATATTGCAAGAGACTATCTGATCGTATAACAAGATAGTATATTATGATGTGGTATATTATAGTATACTATGGTATACCGTAAACTTTGGTATGTTGCAGTATCTGATACTGTAAAATCGCATATTATAGTCGTATATGAAAGAATCAAAAACCTGTCTGTCATACAAATTTGGATAATATCATAGTATAAGATGTTAACGAACAAACACAACTACACCGAAGCACTCATACCAGCCACCAGAAAGCAAGGAACAGGAAGAGCAGGGGGTCAAAGACAGCCGCGCAGCGTTGGCAGACGACGCAGCACAATCTTCTGAACAACACGCTGCATATGCCACGAAGGTGCGAGGGCTTGGTAGAGCTGCGTGTGCACGACACCAGCCTGCACCAAGTCACTCGAGAGATAGGGTTTGGGGTTCCTTGATTTAACATAGCCCTTATTCAATGTTAAGGCTCTGATATTCCTGGCTTGGCACAAACATCGCTTTCTCGAGGTGCTTTCTAAATTCTGAGCCGAGCGATCCGACCCCCTAAACCCTGAAGCCCTAAACCCCCCAAAACCTAGAGCCCTCAACCCCAAAACCCAAAACCCTAAAGGCCTAAGACCCTAGACCCTATAGATCCCTTTAAGGAACCCTATAGATTCCTTACAGGAACCCTATAGATCCCTTAAGGCCTGAAGCCCTAGACCCAGGCCTCCGAGAAGGCCCAAAGCAAGCCAGAAAGGCATCCACCATCGGCGTCGAAGACAAGCTCCTGAACCGGAAGGTGAGGTTATCATGTAGTGTAGAACATAACCTGTATAAAATGCGACATACCCACATAGTATATAATATGATATAATATGACGTACTGACCAAAAGTAAGATAATTTGGGGCTTGGAGCTTCCAGGTGCATGTCTCTCCCTCTCGAAAGCTCGCAGGAAGTCTCGCCACGGCTTCTTATCCTTGGAGCTACGAGAAATGCAACATCAAGCTTTTTTAGGGGGGTGATGTCGTGACAGGGTGAGGCCAGTAGGGAATCGACAAGCCGACACGCCGCTTCCGTGAATCCATGCTGGCTCCCGTGACTTGGTGCTGAACTCGCGATGCTCCTCCAGCCGTGGGTGCAGTTCATCGCCCAGAGCGACGAAGCACTCCTCATCGTAAACCTTGGTCGGGTGACTTCAGCCTAGTGCGACCCGGCAACAAGAGGCGGAAAGCCGGGCTTTCAATTACAAGTAGAAAAGACCTCCTGATTCCTACCGTAGGATCCGCTCGTTTGCCCAAGGGACTTGGTCCATGGCTGAGCGATCAATGGGAACAATGCAGCCCTGCCATTATGAAGCCAAACTGTTTAAATATTCTACAACCTAGGCTTTTGCTTTTGGGGCCGTATGCAAACCAAGAAAACTGCTCTACACCCTCGGCCCTATCTTAAGCTACCATAACCTAAGCTCTTACTAGAAAGAAAAGGACCTGAATTTTACATGGAGTTTATAATTATAGGAGCCCTACCAAAAAGTAGGCTTTGGTAGCTCCAGGTAAACCCAAAATCCTAAACCCCCAACCCCAAACCTTGAACCTAAACCCTACACCCTAAACCCCCAACACCAGCTTACTCCCGACTTATCTGCGCCTGGGCCCCTGGCACCAGCGATGGCGAGTGCACAAGAGACTTCGGCGAGCTCTTCAGCGGCCTAGGCGTGAGTCATGAGAACAAGGATACTTAAAGGATCATGGGACTTAGTAACTAGGGTTCCTTAGAGGGCTCCTTTAAAGGGATCTATAGGGGGTTTCTATTACAAGAGGGGTTCTAGGGTCTACTTAAAGGATCATGGGACTTAGTACCTAGGGTCATAATTAGGGTAACTATACTTATACTCCCACTTAAGGTACTTATAACCTTACTTACTAGGTCCCATGATCCTCCAAGTAGGAAACAGAAGAGTAAGAATGACAAGAAAATGATAATAATAGAACAATGGCAACAGCACTAATACTACTACTCGTGCTAAAGCTATTACTGATGCTACTGTTGATCACGCTTGGGAAGGAAGGAATAGTAATACTAGTCGTAGCAGTAAGAAAAAGACTTGGAAAACAGTAATGGTGACAATGATAAGAACAGTAGTATCAAGACCCGAAAGCAACGTCAACATAGTAGATTTTTTGAATGATAACAATCGTGAAAGTAGTAAGCGAAAGACTACTCGTAGAAATACTGACATTCATGCAGCTTGGGAGTCTGTTTTTCTTTGCGGTCCTCTTCCACCCGCCGCAACATCTGGAGTTTTGCGTGGGGCTTTGGGGCTTGAGGGTTCAATTATCGTGCATTGGAATTGGAGATTTCCGCTACAGCGCAGTGCAAGGGAACGGGCGAGGACTTCAGGGCATGGGACGGGATAAGTATACCCACTTGGAAGCATCATGAAAATAACATTCATCAGATCCTCTTGGGTTTTGCATGAACAAAAATGAAAGCTTATTCCTAAGGAGACCATGGGCTGAGATGGGATTAGTGATTTGCCCTTTCTGTCTTGCGCGGTTTGAGGTCAACAGGAATGAAAAGCGAAGCGCCCAACCCCAGCCCCTGATCCCTGGCTATGAAAGCACTTCTCGTACACATCGCTGCAGAGAAGAGCCTTGCCCTCATAACCCTTCCCTTCACCCTTAGACCTTACACCTGAAACCCTAAACCCCAAACCCTAAACCCTAAACCCTACACCCTAAACCCCAAACCCGAAACCCTAAACCCTACACCCTAAACCCCAAACCCGAAACCCTAAACCTCAAACCCTAAACCCCAAACCCTACACCCCAAACCCTACACCCTAAACCCCAAACCCGAAACCCTAAACCCCAAACCCTAAACCCCAAACCCTACACCCCAAACCCTAAACCGACACATCTCGCTGGAGCCCAATTCCTTTCCCGGCTTCCGGGTGCAAGGCGAACTCGGAGCAACGGGACCTCTCGAAGCGTTTCTTGTGCTGTCTGGCGTTTCGGAGTCGCTTAAAGGCCTTAAGAATTTTTAGAACAGGGTTTTGGGGCCCATTATACTATGGCTATCATAGGGAACCCCCCAAAACAGTATGGGTAATTATGACGGCCCCTAGTACTAGGTCTGTGAAACCGGTGCTTGGGGGCTTTCCCTTGAGCGTCCCTTGCTTTCCCCCCCTGCGATATCTCGCCATCCATGCCGGGATGTACACCTTCAGACTTCGTGGTACACGGTCGGGTTACCAGGCAGTGGCTCCTTTGCGTGAGAGCCCGACAATAGGGGACCCTAATATAGTACTCCAAACAGTAGTATCCTTATTATCAGGA